TTCCTTCCTTCCTTCCTTCCTTCCTTCCTTCCTTCCTTCCTTCCTTCCTTCCTTCCTTCCATCTTCAAGTTAGTTAACATACAGGATAGTCTTGGCTTCAGGAGTAGAACCCAGTGATTCATCTCTTGTATATGACACCCAGTGCTCATCCCAACAAGTGCCCTCCTCAATGCCTGTCACCCATTTAATCCACCTCCCAACCCCACCCCTTCCAGCAATCCTCAGTTTGTTCTCTGTATTTAAGGGTCTCTTATGGTTTGCCTTCCTCTGTTTTTATCTTATTTTTCCCTTCCCTTCCCCTATGTTCATCTGGTGTGTTTCTTAAATTCCACATATGACTGAAATCGTATATGTCTTTCTCTGACTGACTGATTTTGCTTAGCATAATACCCTCCAGTTCCATTCACATTGTTAGAAATGTCAAGATTCATTCTTTTTCATTGCCGAGTAGTATTCCATTTTATGTTTGTACATCTTCTTTATGCATTCATCAGTCAATGGACATTTGGGTTCTTTCCATAATTTGGCTATTGTTGATAGCATTGCTATAAACATTGGGGTGCGTGTGCCCCTTTGAATCAGCATTTGTGTAGCCTTTGGGTAAATTCCTAGTAATGCAATTGCTGTGTTGTAGAGTAGTTCTATTTTTCATTTTTTGAGGAATCTTCACACTGTTTTCCAGAGTGGCTGTAGCAGTTTGCATTCCCACCAGCAGTGCAAAAGTGTTCCATTTTCTCCAACCTCTGTTGTTTTCTGAGTTGTTCATTTTAGCCACTCTGACTGGTGTGAGATAATATCTCATTGTGGTTGTGACTTGTATTTCCCTGATGATGAATGATGTTGAGCATCTTTTCATGTGTCTGTTAGCCCTCCGGATGTCTTTGAAAAAGTGTCTGTTCATGTCTTTTGCCCATTTCTTCAGTGGATTATTTGTTTTTCATGTGTTGAGTTTGATAAGTTCTTTATAGAGTTTGGATACTAGCCCTTTATCTGATATGTCATTTGCAAATATCTTCTGTTGGTTGCCTTTTAGTTTTGCTGATTATTTCCTTTGCTGTGGAGAAGGTTTTTATCTTAATGAGGTCCTAATAGTTCATTTTTGCTTTCAATTCCCTTGCCTCCAGAGACATGTTAAGTAAGAAGTTCCTGCAGCCAAGATCAAAGAGGTTGCTGCCTGTTTTCTCCTGTAGGATTCTGATGGTTTCCTGTCTCACATTCAGGTCCTTTATCCATTTTGAGTTTATTTTTGTGAATGGTGTAAGAAAGTGGTCTAGCTTCATTCTTCTGCATGTTGCTGTCCAGTTCTCCCAGCACCGTTTGCTAAGGAGACTATCTTTTTTCCATTGGATGTTCTTCCCTGATTGTCGAAGATTAGTTGGCCATATATTTGTCAGTCCATTTCTGGGTTCTCTATTCTATTCCATTGATCTGTGGTCTGTTTTTATGCCAATACCATACTGTCTTGATGCTTACACCTTTGTAGTAAAAGTTAAAGTCTGTGTTTGTGATGCCTCAGCTTTGGTTTTCTTTCTTCAACATTACTTCGGCTATTCGAGGTCTTGTGTGGTTCCACACAAATGATAGGATTGTTTGTTCTAGTTCTGTGAAGAATGCTGGTGCTATTTTGATAGAGATTGCATTGAATGTGTAGACCAGTTTGGGTGGTATTGACATTTTAACAATATTTGTTCTTCCAGTCCATGAGCATGGAATGTTTTTGCATTTCTTTGTGTCTTCTTCACTTACTTTCATAAGCTTTCGATAGTTTTCAGTATGCAGATCTTTTACCTCTTTGGTTAGGTTTATTCCTAGGTATTTATGGTTTTTGGTGCAGTTGTAAATGGGATCCATTCCTTGCTTCCTCTTTCTGTTGCTTCATTATTGGTGTATAGAAATGCAGCCGATTTCTGTACATTGATTTTATATCCTGTGACTTTGCTGAATTCCTGTATCAGCTCTAGCAGTTTTTTGGTGGAGTCTTTTGGATTTTCCAGGTAAAGTATCATGTCGTCTGCAAAGAGTGAACGTTTGACTTCTTTGCCAATTTGGATGCCTTTTATTTCATTTTGGCTGATTGCTGAGACTGGGACTTCCAACACTATGTTGAACAACAGTAGTGAGAGTGGACACCCCTGTCATGTTCCTGATCTCAGGGGGAAAGCTCTTTTTCCCCATTGAGAATGATATTAGCTGTGGGCCTTTCATATATGGCTTTTATGATGTTAATGTATGTTCCTTCTATCTCAACTTGCTTGAGGGTTTTTATCAAGAAAGGGTGCTGTATTTTGTCAAATGCTTTTCTCCATCTATTGACAGGATCATAGGGTTCTTATCCTCTCTTTTATTAACGTGGTGTATCACATTGATTGACTTGCGAGTACTGAACCAGCCCTGCAGCCCAGGAATGAATCCCACTTGATCATGGTGAATAATTCTTTTAATGTGCTGTTGAATTTGATTTGCTAGTATCTTATTGAGAATTTTTGCATCTAGTTTCATGAGGGATTTTGGCCTGTAATTCTCCTGTTCTACTTTTGAAAAATATTTTTTGAGATGGGGTGCCTGGCTGGCACTGTTGATAGAGCATGCGACTCTTGATCTTGGCTTTGTAAGTGTGAGCCCTGTGTTAGGTATAGAGATTATTTAAAAAGAAAATCTTAAGGGGCGCCTGGGTGGCTCAGTCAGGTAAGCGACTGACTCTGGCTCAGGTCATGATCTCACAGTTCGTGGCTTTGAGCCCCACGTCGGGCTCTGTACTGACAGCTCGGAGCTTGGAGCCTGCCTTCGGATTCTGTGTGTCTCTCTCTGCCCCTCCCCTGCTTATCCTCTCTCTCTCTCTCTCTCAAAAATAAATATTTTTTAAAAATTAAAAAATGAAACCTTAAATGCAAAAACATTTTTTGAGGGGTGCCTGGGTGGCTCAGTCGGTTGAGCACCCGACTCTTGATTTCAGCTCCGGTCATGATCTCCCAATTTTTGTGAGATCAAGCCCCATGTTGGGCTCTGTGCTGTCACATGGAGCCTGCTTAGGTTCTCTCCCTCTCTCTCTGCCCCTCCCTAGCTCATGCTTGTGTGTGTGCACGCATGTGCTGTCTCAGTAATATATTTCTCTCTCTTTAGTATATTTTAAAGTCTACTTATTTTTGAGAGAGAACGTGTGAGTGAGAGTGGGGGAGGGGCAGAAAGCAACAGGGACAGAAGATCTGAAGTGGACTCTGTGCTAATAGAGAGCCCAACGCGGGGCTCAAACTCAGGAACCATAAGATCATGACCTCAGCCAAAGTCAGATGCTTAACCAACTGAGCCATCCACATGCCCCATATTTTGTAAGATAAAATGGACGTGCATAAAATTCACCCTTTAAAAATGTACAGGTCAGGGGCCCCTGGCTGGCTTGGTCAGTGGAGTGTATGACTCTCAATCTCCAGGTTTGGAAGTTCCGGTCCCATGCTGGGTGTAGAGATTACTTAAAAAAATAAAATCTTAAAAAGACTGACCTATACATAAAATGTATAGGTCAGTGGTTTTTAGCGTATTCACAAAGTTGTGCAACCATCACCACGATCTAGTTGTAGGACAGTTTTACCTCCCCACCGCCCCCACTGGAATATACCAGTGTGCATTAAGCCTCCCCATCCTTCTCCCCCGGTCCTTAATCTACTTTTTGTCTCTGTGGATTCGCCTGTTCTGGGCATTTCCTAGAAATGGGATCCTACAATGTGTGACTCGTTGTCTGTGTTCTTTCACTTACGTGGGTTTTCAAGGCCCATCTACATCCTAGAACGTGTCAGAACTTCATTGCGCCGTAGGGCTGATACTCCGTGATCTGGATATTCCACATTTTGTCTGTTCATCAGCTGGTAGACACTTGGGTTGTTTCTACTTTTTGGTTGTTGTGAATAACGTTGCCTTTTCGATTGTTGTGAATAATGATGCCTTTGACATTCGTGTGCATGTACGCGTGTAGACATACGTCTTCATTTCTCTTGGGTACATGCTTAGGAGTAGAATTGCCGGGGCAAATGGCCACTCTGTTCTGAACTTTTTGAGGAACTGCCGAAGTGTTTTCCAGAGTGGCTGCTCTACTTTAGGTTCCCGCCAGTCACGTAGGAAGGCTCCCATTTCTCCACATCCTTACCAGCACTCGTTAGTGTCTATCTTTTCGAATCTTGCCATCCTAGTGGGTGTGGAGTGGTGTCTTATTGTGGTTTTGATTTTCATTTCCACTAACTAATTTTGATTTTCATGCCCACTAACATTGGGCATCTTTTTGTGTGTCTCTCTTGGAGAAATGTCTCCACATCCTTTGCCCATTTTAAATTTTGTTTGCCTTTTTTTTTTTTTTTAAGGTTTAGAGAGGGAGGGCGGGAAGCGAGCAGGTGCACGCGTGCGAGCAGAGGAAGGGCAGAGACTCCTAAGCAGGCACTGTCAGCGCAGAGCCCGAAACAGGGCTCGAACCCACAAACCTTGAGATCATGACCTGAGCCAAAATCAAGAGTCAGACGCTTAACCATCCGACCACCCTGGGTTATCTGCCTTTTTATTTCTGAATTATTGGAGCTCTTTATACATCCTGCATACTAGACATTTACTAGATACATGATTTGCATGTATTTCCTCTGTGGGGTTTTCCACTTTCTTGTTAGTGACCTTTAAAGCACAAACACTGTTCATTTTGATGGAAGTCCAATTTATTTTTTCTTTGGTTGTTTGTGCTTTAGATACTTTACTGAGAAACTGTTGCGTAATCCAAGGTCACAAAGATTGACACCTAAGATTTCCTTTAAGTGTTATAGTTTTGCTCTTGCATTGAGGTCTTTGATCCTAAACGCTAATTTCTGGAGCTAATTGTTGTGTGTGATATGAGGCAAAGGGTCCAAACTCCTTCCTTGGCATGTCCCACTGTTCCAGCACCGCTTGTTGAAGAGACTGTCTTTCCCTGTTAAATGGCCCTGACGCTTTTGCCAAAACTCAATTGACCATAAATGTATGGGTGTATTTCTGGACATTCTATTCTAGTTCATTGATCCGTTTGTTTGTCTTTATGCCAGGATCACACTGTCCTGATTATTCTAACTGTGCAGTAAGTTTTGAAATCAGGAAGGGTGAGTCTCCCAACTCTGTCCTCCTTTCTCAAGGTTGTTTGGGCTATTCTGGGTCCCTTGTGCTTGTGTATGAGTTTTATTTTTATTTTTATTTTATTTTTTTATTAAAAATTTTTTTTTAAGTTTTATTTATTTTTGAGACAGGGAGAGACAGAGCATGAATGGGGGAGGGGCAGAGAGAGAGGGAGACACAGCATCGGAAACAGGCTCCAGGCTCTGAGCCATCAGCCCAGACCCCGACGTGGGGCTTGAACTCACGGACCGAGAGATTATGACCTGAGCTGAAGTTGGACGCTTAACCGACTGAGCCACCCAGGCACGCCTCTGTATGAGTTTTAGATAACCTTGTTAATTTCTGCAAAACAGCCAGACTGTGCTACTTTTGTGTCTGTTTTGCTGTTGTTTTCCTGGCCTGTAGACTTTCTTTTATCTCTTTCCCTTGGGGCCCGGCCTGGAGGGAGAACAGAGCTAGAACAGGGCTAGAGAGCGAGTCTTGGCTGATGGGTGGTGCACAGATCACACTGGCCCTTGTCTTCAAAGGTGGCCCCAGGGGACAGGTGCGCCTGAGCACTGCCATACTCATTGGGTCCCTTCCTGCCCGGCCTCTTGCCAGGTCTTGGCTGGAAGCAGCTCACCCAGCAAAGTGTAGGTGGTGGTGGTGGTGGCGGCAATCGTGAAGGAGGGGATTAGGAAGTAGCAGAGTTTGGCTGAATGCACGATTCTCTGCTCACTTCTAGGTTCTATCTTTGCTCCTCTTGCAAAAATGTCCGAGTTACATTGTGGTCGTTCTTACCAGGGAGTCATCACCTCTGCCACTGAGCCCAGGCGCCCCCCTTTGGGGCATGTGGCTGGGAGATTGGGGCCCCTCCACAGCACAGCCACAGTCCCGTGTGCTCGGGCAGTAATGGTGACAGGTGCTCCCTGCCATCGGGTGCTGTGGCAGAGACCGTGAGGACTACTTCCTACATATACATCCTCCCACTGAAACCTTGGTTACTCCCATTTTACAGATAAGGCAACCGAGGCATAGATAGTGTAAGCTTATTTCTTCAAGGATCTGTGGCTGAGAAGTAGGGGGTGGAGGGTGTGTGTGTAGGAGGGGAGCTTTGAACCACTGCACTGACTGCCTCTTCATGGGGTTGGCCCCTTCTCGCCTAATTTCTATAATCTCATCAATCATGACGGGGAAACCCTGTCTTCCTGGTGGGGCTGCGTTCTTGGGTCAGTGGCCAGGATTTCTTAGGGTCAAGTTGAGCAGTAGGCTTTTATTCTACCAATAGCCAGGAGTGAGGAGTGGGCCTGTGATGAAGCAGAGACACCTCAGTGCCTTGGGTGAATTTCTTGGGTGTATTTCTTGGGTCGGAAGCATAGCTGCTCAGGGGAGCACTTCAGAGATCGCCCGGGCTCCCCAGCTCTATTGGACACCTTGGTTTCATTTGGATCACTGCAACTAGACATAATGGGGTGCACCCTCAGAGGCCCCATTATCGATGCTTTCCCACTGGGACCCACGAGTGGAAGCAGGAGAATCGTCCTCTTCCCTCCCTGCAGGAAAAAATGGGAAAAATGCTGACACATACATATCTGGGTTCGTGTATTAAATTATCTACGTGTGAGTGCACCGATCTATTAGGCTCACTCTAGAAATGTACCAAAAAATTAAACGTCTTAAAACAGGCCCTGTAGATCTGATCTGGACAGCCTCAGCCAGATTAAACATCACGTGGACACAGCGCTTCCCCGGACCCCGTCTCACGCCCACCATGCCCTTACCACTCCTTAACGGAGGGGGCAGATTGAATCCAGTATCATGTATCTGATACAAGATATGTTCTTCTTTCAGGCTTATCCAGAACCAGATCACGGCCAAGGGGATTGCCCAGCTGGCAGACGCATTACAGAGGAACACTGGCATAATGGAGATTTGGTAAGACACATGCGCCAGTCGTAGTAATGAGAACAGTGACTGTCTACTCAGCACCCTGACTGGGCGCCAGGCACAATTTAGAGCATGTGCCACTTATTCCTCATGTTTCCAGTAGTCCCGGAAAGCAGGCTGGTAGTATTTCCACTTCACAGAGGCAGAAACTGAGCCCAGAGCAGTGAGGGAATACTTGCCCAAGGTGCCACCTAAGAGGAGAAGCTGGAATCTGGTCCAGGCTGCCTGACTCTGTGGCCTGGGGCTCCCCTCGTAGGTGCCCTGCCTCCTCTCCCTCCCCGCTATGCACGGGGCAGATGGCCCAGGAAAGGGATCCTGCTGAGAGTGAATCACTCGGGGACTCAGGAGGCTGAGATGTGGATGGGGTAGCTGGCGTTTGGGGCCCCTTCTTCTCCTTTTCTGGAGTGGGGCTACAACACTGAGCCCCACTCCACTTCGTTACTGCCTCATAAGACCCATACATCGTCCCTCCTAAGTGGGTCCCGGCCTGTGGACTGTGTGGGCAGGGTAGGGGGAGTTCCCATCAGTGACAGGTGCGGCAGCGGCCTGGGTGCTGGGGATGTGGCGGTTAGGCGGACAGAAAGGGTCCTGATGGCTTGAGAGCACTGGCTCACCGGGGCTGCGGACAGGGGGCCCTGAGCAGGCTCCCCGGCGCTCTGGAGTGTGCCGTGAGCCTCAGCCTGACACAGCCCTGCAGCGTGACCATGTGGGGGCACCTAGCGGGGTGGGGGGCACAGCCACATTTCCCTTGAGGACACGGGCCACAGGAGGGGTTCATGCTCTCCCCGTGGCTTCCCTGAGGTCCAAGGAGCAGCCTCCCCGTGAACTCAAACCCTCAGCTCAGGGGGTAGTTACTCATCAACTACCTCATTTCGTCCTGCCGGGGGAGAATTTCCCAGCCAAAAAAAAGTACATCGAGGTACAGCTCCTTGACCTGGGCTCCCAGCACAGTTTTTAAACTTTGCTTTGGAACTTGTTAGTGCATCATAAAATCAGTTGGGCGGGTTGCAACCAGCACATTATTTGGAAAACGAGGTCGAGCAGAACACCAAAAGTCACCGTGCACAGCACGAAGTATTATTTTAGAATCTTGGGTCAGATGTGGGTACGTGTGCCTGCGTGGATGCTGGTTCAAGACGTAAAATGTAATTCTCGTTTGGGTCGTGCTTGAAAAAACATTTGGAAGACGCTGTCCTAGAGGGGAGAGCCCAGCTCCAGCAAGGCTGACGGAGGACGCTGGGGCTTGGGTGCGTGTGACCCTGTGCCCGCTCCTGAGTCCGCAAGGCATGTGGGAGCTGTTGGAACTCTGGTTTGCATTAATCGCCAGCCCCCCTCCTGCCCGTGGTCCCTTCCCTAGAAGCACGTCAATTCTTGCTGACTCTGTGGTTCGAGAACAGCAGGCAGAGGGGGAGGAGGGGGCAGGCCAGGCTGCAGAAGTTTGCAGACAACAGTTGGCCTCTACTTTTCTCGGAGGTTGATTAGGACAGTTGTAAGAACACGTAGCTGCTTTAACTCTGTCCGGCTTGAAAAATGTGCATTTGTTGCCTTGGAAGGACCACTGTTCCTATACAAGGAACTATGTGTGCAGCGCCAGGTGTCTTTAGCTTGAAGGTGTGCTACCCAGGGCCTAGAGGCATGTGTGTGCGCGCGCGTGTGTGTGTGTGTGAGTGATGTCATGGAACCAGGCTTAGTGACGTCCTGTCGCATCGGCCCTGTCCAGGGCTGTGGGGATGAGGGAGCAGCTCTGTCCGCAGTCACCAGGGGCACAGGGACTCGTTGTTCATGCTGATATTGATTTCTACCTCATCCCTGTCCCATGAGAACTTGCGGTCTGATGCCCCAAGTGAGTTCTGCTTCAGAGACAGGAGGCAGGGTGAACAATGCCCTGACATTGCGCGGCATCTATCATACTGCTGGAGTAGCTTCCTGGGAGGCTGTCTGCTCCAGACTGTGAGCTCTTTGAGGGTGGAGCCTGGGTCATGGTGTTTAAAAAAAAAAAAAAAAGTCAAGTGAGTAAAGGTGAAGGTCTGATGGGCTTTAGCAAGCAGTTCCTGAGTTGGGCGGCATCCCTTCCAGAAAGTAGAGGGGAGCTCTGCTGAGCCAAACAAGAGAAAGGTTCTTAAAGGCAGAGGACATCAACAAGGAAGAATTTATTAGCAGGGAGTACATCGTTGTAAGCAAGGTTGCCCTCCTAGGGGGAGCAGGAAGGTCTGACAGTAAATTTCCTAGTGTTGACCAGGAAATTCTATGCTGACTGATTAAAGGCTACATTCATTCCTGGGTGTTAAAATTAGGTTGGAGTTAGGTTAGGTATTAACTGGTTTACCGATTTGGGGCCTTAACCTAAGCGATGCTATTTTGGGCCTGTGTGCGTGTGTGACAGTGGTCCCCGGGGCGCCGGGGTGGCTCAGTTGGTTAAGCGTCCGACTGCGGCTCAGGTCATGATCTCAGCGTCCGTGAATTTGAGCCCCGCATCAGGCTCTGTGCTGACAGCTCAGAGCCTGGAGCCTGCTTCAGATTCTGTGTCTCCCTCTCTCTCTGACCCTCCCCCGTTCATGCTCTGTCTCAAAAATAAATAAACATTAAAAAAAAATTAAAAAAACAAAAAACAAAACAGTGGTCCCCTTTTGGACTGGCCTCTCCACTTTGCTGAGAGCTGTGATCAAACTTTAGGGCATTAGCGCCCCTCTCAGCTACTGCTCTGTAGTTCTCGAAGCCTTTGTTGATCCTGTGCGTGGCATTCTCAGGTCCTGATGTTTTCACTTTGTCTCTGTGACAGTCACAGGTTACGAGCTCAGGTTTACATTCTGTTAAGTCACTTTGTCCTCTTTGTACCTTTTTGGATGGTCCAGTCTGAGGGAGACCATTTGCTTAGCGGTTGGTGGCCTCAAACATGCATTTAAAGCATTTAAGAAAATATAACGCACCAGGGAGATTCTTATGATTATGATAAGCAGGGTCCTCCCCAATGTTTGCAGGGTACTTTGAAGCCCTGGTCTCCAAGACCCAATGCCATCAAAATCAGACAAATCAAAGAAAGACCCTGTGGAAGGAGTCATCTTCTTAAGGCAAGTGCCTTGTTTTGGGATATGATGTAATCGAGTTTCAACTTTCCCAGGAGTGTAATCCAGGTGGCACCTCCTTGCTCAGCTAAACGATAATCAAGGGCTATTCTATTCTATTCTCAAGAACAACACTGGCCAGAGAGTCTAGGGATCATTGTTGGGCAGTTGTTGCAAGAATTTCAAGAATTAAGGAGAAGTTCCTGTTCATAGCTCCGTTTGTATTTATCCCTAAACAGAGAAGTAGGGGTCTGCCAAACAGAGTCCTGAATCATGAAAGCCTCCTGGGAGGTCCTTTCCAACTCATGGTGTAAATTCACAGGAGTTGACCAATGATAAAAGTTAGATTTTCTCCCGGCCTGAAATAAAAGGTTGCTCCAAAGTCCAGAGGGTGGCCTGGGAAATAAAGATAAGGGCATTACCTTTCCTAGCTGATGCCAGGGTGAAGGAAAGAGGAGAAAGCGTGTCATGTTCAGTTCATGTATGAAGCCTTGATCAGGTGTCTTGAGCAGAAGCCGTCTACCTTGGGGGCGGCTGTTTCTTTTCCTTGTCAGTTTGATTTGTGGGTCTCCAGCGTCTGCATGGGACCAGGGCTCAGGAGGAGCCCTCTTGAGCCATGTGACATGTACCCCAGGCTCAGTGCCTTCTGATTGTGCAGCACTGTCCATGGTCAGGAGTGCTTTGTAAGGTCCTTTCCAATGGGGCTCAAGAGCTGTTTTTCTCTGGTGATGTTTCCAAAATACCTAATCACCACCAGGCTCTAGACTGTGACCAACAGGACCCTTTTAATTGGGATCCCAGATGCCTTTTTTTTTTTTTTTAATGTTTGTTTATTTTTGAGAGAGAGACCCAGAATTCGAAGCAGGTGCCGAGCTGTGAGCACAGAGCCTGACACAGGGCTCGAACCCACAAATCACGAGATCATGACCGGAGCCGAAGTCAGACGCTTAACTGACTGATCCACCCAGGTGCCCCTATATTTTAATTTTTTAACCTCCATGCCCAACCTGGGGCTTGAACTTACAACCCTGAGATCAAGAGTCGCATGGTCTATTGATTGAGCCAGCCAGGCGCCCCTAGATTGGTGAATTTACGAATACATTTCATAGTTAGAAATGTGTTTTTTCATGGTACAAGAGCACAAAACAGGTTTTGCTAACACGTGCAAATCTGTTGCACACAGAGAAACTAAAGAGAAAAGTGGATAAACCTATGTTAATACTTAGTGTTTTCTTATTTGGAAGTGATCTAGATTTTCAGTGAATTTACCTTACCATGTAACTTAGCAAAACTTTAACGTTTTGGGTTACCACCAAAAAAGAATTTGGAAGCTATTTATCTTATTTACATCTTATCTTATTTACATCTATTTAATCTTATTTACATCTATTTAATTTACTTGTTCTTAACAATTATATGTGGAGTACCCATAAAACTTCATAGGCAAACTCAACCATTATTCTGTTTAGTTTTTTTTTTTCTGACAGATTTTGCAACAGAGATATCATGAAACTAATCTTTCAGTAAACAAAAGCAGAATAAAAGTTTCATATTTAATGCTCCAGGGGCACCTGGGTGGCTCAGTTGGTTAAGTGGCCAACTTTAGCTCAGGTCATGATCTCGCAGTTTGTGGGTTCAGGCCCCATGTTAGGCTCTGTGCTGACAGCTCAGAGCCTGGAGCCTGCTTCAGATTCTGTGTCTCCCTCTCTCTCTGCCCCTTCCCTGCTTCAGCTCTGTCTCTCTCTCTCAAAAATAAACAAACATTAGAAAAAAAAGATAAACATTAGAAAAAAAAACTTTTTTAAATGCTGGTAACTCTAAAGACAGGTCTATTTTAATTAAACCAATAACCTTAAATTAGCTTTAACACCAAATATTTTCCCAGCTCACTTTAACCCAAATGTTTTTTCTGTCTAGCTTTCTGAGTTTTAGAATGCCCCATCCTTACTGGCGCTTCCCTTCAAACCATAATTTACAACATACACGGACACACATACAAATACACAGAACAGATGCAAACAAATTCTTATGGCTTTCAGATTTACTAATGTTTGTAGACAGATGATGGGCCCAATTTCCAAGTACGTCCCTCTCTCTCTTTTTGATGAACAACTTCCCTCTAAAGTTTGCATTTCAAAGAAGGGCTCTTAGGTGCTAGAGAAGATGGGGGTAGAAAATTTATAGAGAACGTATCTAAGTTTTGTCCGAGGTGATTTGGAGCATTATCTGCCTGTTACCAGAGGTGCTGGAGTCTGGGCACAAGATCCCTGTTAGCAATTTGTATGTTACTTTATTTTTTATGTTTGTTTATTTTTGAGAGAGAGAGACAGAGCATGAGTTGGGGAGGAGTGGAGAGAGAGGGAGACACAGAATCCAAAGCAGGGTCCAGGCTCTGAGCTGTCAGCACAGAGCCCGATGCGGGGCTCAGACCCACAAACTGTGAGATCATGACCTGAGCCGAAGTCGGACGCTTGACAGACTGAGCCACCCAGGTGCCCCAGCAGTTTGTATTTTAAGAAGACCTCTGTGTTTACATTTCAAAGACCTATTAAGGGACAGAGAAAGAATGCAAAGGCTTCTTTTTTTCTACCTTTTTTTTTGTGCTAGTAACATTCTTCACTTTTGAAAACATGGAGGGGTTATTGGGCATATATCTATTATTCAAATGTTTCTTTTTTAATTTTTAAAAAAATGTTTACTTATTTATTTTGAGAAAGAAAGAGAGCAAGTGAGCAGGGGAGGGGCAGAGAGAGAAGGAGGGAGGGACAGAGAGTCCCAAGCAGTCTCTCCACCCTGTCAGCAAGGATCCCGACTCCGACTCAATCCCATGAACAGTGAGATGATGACCTGAGCCGAAATCCAGAGTCAGTCACTTAACCTATTAAGCCACCTAGGCGCCCCTATTATTCAAATGTTTCTAGGAAGCTGAATTAATTGTTCTGTTGGGTGATAGAACACAGGGCAACATATCAAGAAATTCAAAGTGATATGGGTGAAGTCTTGTTTATTTAGCATCCTGTGGTACACTGCCCAATGTGACTTTAAGTCTCAACAGCTTGGGTCCTGAATGGTGCATAATGTTCTGGAAACTGGTAGGGCAGTATTTTCAATATGGGCCTGAATATTATTTCTGCCTACACGCAGTATTTAAAGAGAGAATATAGGAGTACTTGGTTATAATTAAATAAAATGCTTGATTCATCTGGGGGAAAAAATGTACTCTTTTTTCCTTAAGTACATGGCAATTTTGTCCCAATATCCTGACCGTTGATGATGTCCACAAAAATTTTGAGAGGAGCCAGAGAGGTTTGGAGATTGGTAAAGATAGGTGGGTTTTGAGTTGTTTGCGGAGTTGCACGTCTGGTTTTGTAGAGATTTGTAAGACAAAGAACCAGATTCCAGCCTGAATTCATGTCAAGAGACAGGCCCACCTTTTTAACTAAATTTGCTTCTTTTTTTAAAAATTATTTTTATATATTTTTTGAGGGAGAGGGAGGGAGACAGTGACCCAGGAAGGGGTAGGGAGAGAGAGAATCCCAAGCAGGCTCTGTGCTGTAAGCACAGAGTCCGATGTGGGGCTTGAACTCACAGACTGTGAGATCATGACCTGAGCTGAAACCAAGAGTCAGAGGCTTAACTGACTGAGCCACCCCGGTGCCCCTAAATTTGCTTCTATATATCAGGGGGATTAATGGGAATGAACAGAATGGTACAAAGCATTTTAACAAAAAGCCTTCTTCACGGTGACACACGTCAACCTTGGCTTCTATTAGCCTCTGAACACCATCCTTCCTCTGATCATTTGTCAGAAGGCCAAGCAGAAATGTTATTATTGGTCATCTCTTTCCTCTGTGAAGGGGAGGTGGGTGAATAGTCAAATCTTTTTAATGTTTCTCTAAATGTGGTAGGATCTTCTGAAAGTGGAGGAAAAAGGGCTCTATAGAAGATTTCCTGCCATTTGGGGGGCATGCATTGGGGCAGGAGACATCTGCAAAGGCAATTGTCCAAAGAAGTCTAAGGCCGCCAGAGGTCGATTACGGTAAACCAAGCCCTCCTGTGTCGTCCTAGGTGCTTGGTGCTTCTGTTAAAGTCACTTTCTGGCTTTCAGCATTTACTGAAAGAGTAAATATAAAGAGTAGCCTTTATACTTTGAGCCTAGAGGTCAGGCTGGATGTTAAGAGGGGAGTTTTCATCGGAGGTGGACACTTATCTGTCTTAAGTCTAATTTTTGTTCTTTTATGTTGTCAAGGGAATCCCTAAGGCTAGCCGTTCTAAGATAACTGAGAGCTTTTTATAAAGAATTTTTTTTTTTTTCCAGTAGCCAATTTAAACGCTCTGGTACCTGGCCATTGACAAATAGGATGTTACTAATTTCAGTAGCGACTCAAAACCATAAGCGGCTTAACGGAAAACTCCAAAGAGGTGTGTCCCAGAGGGGCAGAGACGAGGCAGCCCCCGTGACCCAAAAGTTTACTTCCAGGACCAGGCTGAGAAAGCAGACAGCTTCACTGTGCCGGCCGGAAGAGTGAGGTCACGTGTGCTGTGTCTCCCGTCTCCCCAGAATGTGAGACACCTCCAGGCTCATCTGGGACAGGCAGACGCTAATGGAGTGGCATTTCCCAGCACTTGACAAGCAAGCGGTTGAGGCAACAGAGGCCCTTATGGGCTTGGACCTCTCCTGACACTTTCTTGGGAGGCGGCACGGCCCCGACAGAGCACGCTGCTTATAACTGTGTTTCTGGGTCCCCGGTCTGTTGGACTGGCCACCACGGTGCACCCTGGTAGGTGCGCCCGCCACGTGACAGAAACCAGAGAAAGGTCACAAAGCCAAGCTCTTAGGACACAGAACCAGATGAAAGCAAAATTCTCTTATATTCATATTAACAGCCCCGCCTACGCCTTGGGTCTCTGGGGCCAAACTAATCCGTAGGAGAGATGTGCCTTTGGTGTTTCACAGTGTACCTTGCTCCCCAGATGTTTGCTTAATCTACCCCGTTCCATGACCAAGTTCTCCTACTGGGGGTTCTTTGAGTCAGATGACAAGCACTCTAACAGCTTTTAGGTGCCTGACTTGTGACCACTCGTGGCTTTGGCTTCCAAGATGTTTCCTAGCAACAGCCTGTACCCCATGTGCGCGTTAACCACAGCAAGGTTTGTGTAAATGGCCACGGGTCCGATGCGACTGGGACCTCGCTAGTCTGTGAGGCGGGCCCCAGCGGCGCGTTTACAGGGCCCATACCTGTGTTCTGTCCTACGATAATTCCTCTCCGTGACACTCAACACAGAAGACACAGACAAAACAGTGACCGTCTCTGGGAGGAAATGATCAGTAGCCAAGGAGTATTCTACCACGTTTTTACCAGAAGTGGCTACACCCAAGGAACTGGTTCTACAGTATTTTCTCCTGCTAACTAAATCTGGAGACAGAAGGATTCTTACCACACTCCTTCCACCAGACCCCGCAGACACAGGTGGCTGGAGGCCGACGTGGTCAGAAATCTCACCTTCTGCTGGCTGCACGTCAGATGTCCCAGGATCTCAGCTGCAGCAATACCAGGCAAGCACCTGTCCCGTGAGTTAGTATCCTGCCGATAATGCCAACCAAAGGGAAGGAGAAATTCGTCCTCTACCCTTCAAGGTCTTCCAGCTGGGCTAAGAGTTAAATTTGCATAAAACAGATTAACCAGGGGAAAAAAACCACAGAGTTTTATTATGAGTGCACAGTGGGCCAAAATGGCCAAGGCAGGCAGTTTTTCTACTTTGTAGACAAAGAGACAATAAATGAATCCATGAAGAATTGACAGGTCAGGGCACCTGGGTGGCTCAGTAGGTTAAGTGACCGACTTGGGCTCAGGTCATGATCTCACGGTTCATGGGTTCAAGCACCGCGTCGGGCTCTGTGCTGACAGCTTGGAGCCTGCTTCTGATTCTGTGTCTCCTCCTGTCTCTCTAAAAAATAAATAAATAAACATAAAAAAAAATCCGCAGGACAAAGAAAACTCAACTTCAGGAGTTCCAATTAGTAAGGAATTGTCGACAGAATTTGGGGTGTGATATATATTAGTAAAAATTAACAAGGGGTGTTTATACAGCTTTCTTGCCTCTAAATTTCCTATCTGGTAATAAGGTCTCTTTACCTCCCTGGTAAAGGGAGAGTAATCTTTCAGATGGGAGATTTACTTCCTGCTTCCAGGGGACAGAGGAGGGTCCGAATGGCCTTCTTGCGCAGGCTGTCTCTTAAATAAGTTTTATTCAAAATAATCGGTATGCCATGGGGCCGTCTGGGTGGCTCAGTCGGTTGGGCATCCGACTTTGGCTCAGGTCATGATCTCACGGTTCACGAGTTTGAGCCCCCTGTGGGGCTCTGTGCTGACAGCTCAGAGCCTGCTTCGGATTCTGTATCTCCCTCTCTCTCTGCTCCTTCCCTGCTTGTGCTCTCTCTCTCTCTCTCTAAAAGAAAGAAAAACATTACGACAAATTTTTTCAGGATGCCAGCGCAGCACATTTTGGAGCAGCCTGTCCTTGGCCCCTACAAAACCAACTGCCTAGAGCTCTTTTACAAATTAACGTCAGCAGTACCATCTAGAGGTGGGACAATATGTCGTGTTTATAACGTACATACAAACACGCAGATGCAAAGACCCTACGTTACTAATATTTGTGGTGTCGTGTTTAGTCTCTTGCTAAATCTTTTAATTAACCTTTTAATGAAACTGTTTTTGGAATCGTGAAACCTTTCAGAGCTGCTGCTTTACGCAGCAATTTACGCAGGTATCCCAATGCGTTTTACTTGGGGAAGCCGTGCTCTCAGATGCGCTTCTAAATGCCCTCACGCCTAATGGGAACGTTCCCCATAGTGGCTGTTGTACTTCTAGGTGGTTTTTGGTAACGTTTTGCCATTTCAGTAGGTATTCACAGGTCCTGGCACCATCGTGTTCAGACATAAAATGGGCAGGTGGGCTGGAAGGTGGCATGTCTGTAATATTTAAGGATCCCGTTAGCTGAGCCTTTGTTTACACCAAACAACCCAAACGTTCACACGCCAGCGGTAACCAAAACCTGTTAACCGCGGACTGGGCTGGCAGAGAGAAGGCTGTGCCCACCACCGGCCATTCCCAGCACGGACCCGCCCAGTGGTCTCCACTACGGAGACTGCAGACTGGAAATGGGGACTGCGGATGGGAGCTGAGGAGGAATTCCAACGTGAACTGGCGGGCTGACCCAAGGGTAAGGGCTGGCGCTCCGTGAGAACCGCCCCCCATCCCACCCCCATCGCTCTGTGCTGACCCGTTAACCCTAGACTGGCAAGCCTGTTAGGGGAGTACGAATGGAGAGGGACTCCCCGGTGGCACCCCGGAAACATGGGGAAACGGGCGAGGCTGACCTTGAACTCAGAAGCGCGCTGGCAGGGCGCCCTGCCTGTGGGTCTTCTTGGCCCCGGAGGCCGGAGGAAGTTCGCTTCAGATCCCAACGCTGCCACCAAGTCTGTTAGACAAAATTCAGCCGAGTAAATGTGAAGGTCTGATTGGCTGACTGGTAGAGGGTATAGCATAATGCCAAGGCTCGGAGGCAGGAAGGGGCTGGTGCCCTTGAAAAACGGCAAGATGTCCATGGGCCCTGGGGTTCAGACGGTGCAGGAGGAGGGGCAACAGGGGGCAGAGGAGAGGGGGTAGACTAGACCATAAGAGATCTGTGGGTCGTGCCACGTATTCGGGTCTATATCCTACAAGCAATGGCAAGTCGTGGAGGGGTGTGAAGCAAAGAGGGGTATGATCAGATTTGCATTACAAAGACCATTATGGCTCCTCCAGGAAAATGGATTTGAAGAGGCCAGAAGAGTACATGTAAAGGGACCAGGCAGGAGGGCACTGCAGTGCTCCAGAGAAGAGACGATGGCGCTCAGACCACCATGGTGGTGGTGAGGACGTGGAAAGGTCCCAGGGAGGCACTCTGGGGATGTTTAGGGAATAAGATAGAACTTTGTGATAGACTATGAAGATGAGGGGGTCAAGGCCGACCCCCAGGTCGCTACCTTGCACAGATGGATGAAGAGTGGTCCCGTGCACTGAGCCAGGGTCCCTGGGCGGCGTCCAAGTGAAGATGTCAAGTAAGTGGAGCCACACGGGAGAGGTCTGGGCCGCAGGTCCACTCACGTAGGGATGAGGTCAGCTGGGGAAAAGGGCCAAGCCCTCAGTCAAGAGGAAATCCAGTATCTAGAGGCCACGTACGGGAGAACATGGGAGAGGAGACGGAGGTGGAGTGGCAGACACAGGAGAAAACCAGAGAGCAAGAAATCAAGCCGAGCAAATGTGCTGGTTCAAGGAGGCAGGGGAGAGAACAGCCAAACGCCCGTGAAGGAAGGGACAGACAAGGCCTGAGACAAGGTCATGAAGTTCAGGCTCCTAGAGGCTATTGGTGACCTTAGTGAGACCCAGTTCATAGAGCGACGACAGCTGGAAGGGAGTAATCTTACCAAGCAAGTGTCTGAATGGAGCACGTTCCGGAACTTCTGGGCCACGTGAAGAACAGGAGGGTGTCGGGAACACGTCCCGGGAAGGCTCCTACAAACCGCTAATGTTTTGTGTTCTTTGTTTCTCCTCGACAGCCTAAATGGAAACTTGATAAAGCCAGAGGAGGCCAAAGTCTTCCAAGATGAGAAGCGGATCGTCTGCTTCTGAGAGGCCACTGCTGTGCACGGGGTGTGGGCCCCGGGCGGCCCGCTAGCAGAGCCAGCCGCCCCGTGCATTTGTCCCTCTCGGAGTCTCAGGGGACCCTGCTGCCTTGGTGACCGGCACGAGCGTCCCTGAGCAGCTGTTACAATTTTGCAGGGCATGAGTGTGCCTGGCGGGCCGTTTTACTTACTGTAAATACACTATGAAGAGACGTAATGCACGTGTAGGGTTATTTTTATCGGACATTAGAGGAAGAAGACTGAGCTCAAACGCCTGCCCTGAGGACCCCGGAGATGAGTTGGTCACGCTGTCTTCGTGGAAGAATTGAGGACATGGTATAGAGTTAGTGCCAAGCTTCTTGGACAAAAGGTGCTCGACGACCAAGTGTTTTACCTGGAATAGTCTCTTCCTCCTCCGTACTCCCCAACAGGTTGACGGTCTGCTCACTTCACCACTGTAGATACTAGGTCTGTGCAGTGTTGCGATTTGATCCACCCAAGGTTTTGCCAAGACAAGGGCTCCTGCTCGGCTTTTGTTTTAGTCCTAGAGTCTCACTCTGCTGACAGAGATCGCCGGGTGCCCTCTTAGCAGGTCTAAGAGGAAAGAGTGGTGTCCTCGTAACATTGAGCTTCCGCTCAGGGCTTTCTCACGCTGGGCTCACCTCCTCCGGAAGGCGGATGGGGGCGGGCACAAGTGCTCTGCCCTAAGAAGAAGAACCTGTGCCCCTCCTCCAAAAGGAATAAGGCCTGGCTTGCCTTTGTGGCCCTGGCCTCCAAGCAGAAGCTTCTGTCTCTCTCTCGCCCTCTTGAGGAGGGGAGTTTTCTCCTTGCCCCAAAGTCCTTGGGAGGATGACTGAACTAGGCCAAGGGGGATGCTGAGAACCCAGCTAGCAGAGCAGGTTAGACACCGACCATCATGGCGGCCACATGCTGGACGTTAAATGGGGGTGGTGGGGGGGGGTGAGATTACCAGAGAAATTGTTCTTCTACCAATTTATTTGTTAATAAAATATTGAAAACGCTCCTTCTAATTGCCCGAGTCTGGGGTTTTTAAAAAGGGATTCAGCCTGGTAGGCGTGCTGGGATCCCTGCACTGCATGCCTGGCTCCCTTCAAAGACACCCACTGCGTTGGGTGGGGCCCTGGGGTGCGGTGCTGTGAAGAGGCTGGGGAGGGAGGCCAGAGCAGTCTTCGGTATGGTCCTTTGCAGGCCTCTCCACCTACCGAGGGACCAAGAAAAGCCGAGGAAGTAACTGAGGCCTTTCCCTCCATCTGACCTGTGAATCCGCACAGCTGGCTTCTTAGAGGAACAGACTTGGTCAGGGGTGGCTGGGGTTAGGATATGGCCCCTGGGCCCTCGCCCTGCGCTCTAGTGGGCCCTGGCGGGCCATGTTCCACACGGACTCCTTTCTGGGGCTGTTCACTGCTGCGGGGAAGATCCAGGTGGACCTTTCATCCACTGTGGCAAGATACAGATCCAACAGGAGAGGGGAAGTGAGGGGGGTGCCTACCGACAGTACCTTTGAGTTCTCGGAGGCCCAGTCTGGCTTTGTACAGCAGCCCCAGTACAATTTAGGAAGTTAACTCTGAAAATCCTATCCAGCCATTCAGCCACGTGGTGGCCGTCCCCCTAAGGGACTGCTTTGGTAGCTCCCCCTCACCTCTGCCCTCACCCCAGACCCGACTACTCACCTAAGAGTGGCTGCTTCACGGGGTGACTGTCTCTACCAGAGATTCTGGGCAACGGATGTGGAACGAGCGTGGTGAGCTGATGGCCAGGGGTGCTTCGACCTCAGACTTCCCGGCTAAAAGAACTATACAGATTCAGGTTTTATTAAGCCACTAAAACTAAACTTTTGAGAGTCTAAAGTTTACTCAGAAACCACCCAATAGTACTGCTCTTAGAGATTATCAACATTAAAACTGCTGCCTCTAAGGAAATTCGAATTTATGTAGTGTTGGCTTAAAGTCTATTTGGAAATGCGCTGGTCTTCCAACGGTAAATGAAGGATTTTCTATTTCTCAAGTCTCCTAATTTGCTGGAAAGGTTCTCCATTACTCACCGGTGAGTTTCTGCACAAGAAGAGGAGACCTTTCCTAATCAAGAAGAAGAAATCCATTGAAAATTGGAAAAAAAAAAAAAAGCCACAGACTTAGGACTGTTTCCTCCCACAGGACATTTTGGTTGGTTTAGGGAAAGAAATGACCGTTCCCATATTTCAGACCTGCATTTATGGCATGTCTGTGCTGATTTGGAACTTCTAAAAAAAAAGCCAGGTCAAGTCACTAGCTGGCTTTGGGCCAGCACCTAAGACTATAGGAATCTTAATTTGCTTTTTGAAAAATGGGAATCCTAGAGTACTGCTCACAGAGTGGTTGTGAGGACCAGACGTGCTGATGCATGGTAAGCAGCACAGCAACATCCGGCGCAGGGTCCCTGCTCAATATAGGCCAGTTACCGTGAAATCGACGTTCCTTTCAGCTCACGATGGACTGCCCAGGTGGTCCTCTTCTCAACGCTTGGGCTTAGGGAACTTCCCAACAAGGTCAAATATGGGCCTGGAAGTTCTCAAAGTCAAGTCCAAAAATAGTCCACCTCAAGCTTCTTGGACCAGTCTAGCTCTGTCAGTGAAAAGCATAGCCGTTAGTTTTCATCGTTATCCCCAAACAGCGCTACCATTTAAGTGTCACTCACCGAACAGCGGGAGGCACATCCAGGTCTTCCTCACACAGTCGAGACGGGAGCAGGAGCCCCCGTCTCCTGCTCCACACCAAGCTGGGCCCACGAGCCTTCGCCAGGCGTCCCCTTCTGCTGCCGGACTGGAAGCATTTGGCTCCCGGATATTTTGGTCCACTTCCAGGTGCACCGCATGTCTATTTCTAGTGATTAATTGATCACTTACAGAAAAAAAAAAAAAAGCAAAAAAAAAAAAAAACCACCCTAGCCCTGGAGTTGAAAGGCAAAACCAGGATCACTATCCCAGGTCCATGGGGAGGAGTTTTCATGCAAATGGAATAAGCTGGTGAGGAGGCCGGGGCTCCTGTGACCACACAGATGCGCTTCTCAGAAGAGCTGCGGGGCCCCGGGGGCCATCCCGGCACAAGTCCCTCAGCCTGAAAATTGAATGGACTGCACCCAAGACCGGCCTAAAACATAAACCTAAACTAAAACCTAAAACTGGAAAGGTTATGGGCCCCCAATGATCTGTAGTAAAAAAATTTTTAAAACAATAGCAAATTATAAAGTGCGAGGATGTTAAACAAGTTTTTCCCATGACTACCTGGGTACTTCCTGGGGCAAATAACAACTACCCAAAGATCTCAAATATTTTTTCCCTGATTTTTTTTTTTTCTGTCAGTGCTTTCTGTTATGAAAGCAATAGTGTTGCTATATTAAAGGAAATTTTAAAGATAATGTGTATACAGAACACAATAGTAACGGTTCGTTTTTGCGTGCCATCTTCCCGTTTTACCTACTTTGTGACATTTTTTCCCAATTGTTTTTATCGTGGTAAAATATACATAAAATTTACCATCTTGACTATTTTCATTTTTAATTTTTTTAATGTTTATTTTTGAGACAGAGCAAGGGGGGGAGGGGCAGAGAGAGAGGGAGACACAGAATCCGAAGCAGGCTCCAGGCTCTGAGCCATCAGCACAGAGCCCAACATGGGGCTCGAACCCACAAGCTGTGAGATCATGACCTGAGCCAAAGTTGGACGCTCAGCCGAGCCACCCAGGTGCCCCACCATCTTAACTATTTTTAAGTGAACGGTTCAGTGGCATTAAATATATTTGTCATGTTGCACAATAATCACCACCATCCATCTCTAGAATTCTCTTCTTAGAACACTGAAATTCTAGACCCATGAGAGAACTCCCTACTCTCCCCTCTTCCCAGCCCCTGGCAGCCACCCTTTCTGTCTCTAGGATTCTAACTATTTTAAGTACCTCATATAAGTAGAATCACACAGCATTTTTGCGTAACTGGCTCACTTCGCTTAACATGATGTCCTCAGGTCCATCCATGCTGTAGCCATGCGTCAGGATTTCCTTCTGGAAACTTACATGGTTATGATCACAGTGGACGTTTGTGGTTTCTTTCAATCAGACATGTTCCCACATTGTTACATAGGCTTCATCATTATCGTTTGAATTCTGTTGGTTAGAGAATTTGCTTAATTATGTTCCAAATGTTAGAGATCCAGTCTTCCAGACTGGTTGTGGTGGTGATTATTTCACGTGATGTTTCTGTGGACGTAGAACATTCTTTAGGGTTGTTTCTTTGGAGTAGGATTATCAAAGATTTTTGCTATGAAGTTTTCTTTCTTTTTTAACCTATGTCAGCCCATGAAGTCTAGGGGTAAACTAAATGGTCTGGAAGCAGATGGAAGTTACAGAACATAATCTGTAATGTAAAGTGAAGCCAGTAAGGTCTCCTTTGACCCTGGACCCCCACCCTACAGATTAGAGCTACAGGCTGGCACCGGTAATCACCACAATTTCAGGGAGAATGAATAATCCCTAAATCAGCCTCTGTTTGAAGCTGGCACTGTGTAGCATAATAATTCATCAGCATAGGCATCGGTATCTTCAAAATCAGTTTTCCTTACTTAAAAAAATATATAGCTGTGCATACATGTCCTTGCTTTGCCCAAACAAACCTAGTCTGACGGGACCCCCTAACACTGCATCAAATGGAGACGATGACTTCCCAACAACCCAGAGAAGTAGGAGTTACTTCATGAATGAGAAAACACGTGACGATGGGTGTGGATCTTGTCTTACTAATCATAATGTGCATATGTGTGTGTGATGGGAAGCCCATCAGGAAAGGGATTTTGGTGAACGTTGAAAGACGCACCTGGCGACACCTGAGATTTTGAGCTCATGTAGTTCAGTTCTGTCACTCTACCGCTGAGGAAACTGGTGCCAAACAAAAGCAACTTGCCCAAGGTCACACAGCGTGTCAGCGGTAGAGCACGGACTAGAACACGGGCCTGTCTGCTTCTGTTTCCTCTCTGTTCTGATAGTTTGTGACCTTCAGTTCATTCTGCAATTGACCATCTTTCTGCCAAGTCTTGTACATCTGGTCCTAATCCACTAGGGCCACTTAAACAAAATAAACTCCTTCCCTACGGACGCAGATGGGGTCTCATTAGTGTCCCTGGGACTCTTCAGGAAGCCTAATCTGTTTCCCCCTTATCCCTGGTGCTAAAAGTTACAGGACTCTGGAGTCACATTTATAAGCCTCACTGTCTGAGAGTCACAAAGCTAGGAACATCTTGGAGAAGGTTGGGAGATGCATAAGTCTGACTCTACAGAGTCAGCTTCCTCATTGGCTACCCATCCTCCATTCTTCAACCACGGAACTAGACCAAAGGACTAAGTAGGTGCATTCCAGAGACCTGGAGAAAATCCTATTTGAATAATTTTCATCACAAGAGGGCAGATGTGTCCTGTAAGCAATTAGTCCATCCTGTCAGTGCCCCCCAAGGATTCAACTGCGCCAGAGGCCTGCTGATTGACACATTATTTTTTTTTTAATTTTTTTTTCAATGTTTATTTATTTTTGGGACAGAGAGAGACAGAGCATGAACAGGGGAGGGGCAGAGAGAGAGGGAGACACAGAATCGGAAACAGGCTCCAGGCTCCGAGCCATCAGCCCAGAGCCTGACGCGGGGCTCGAACTCCCGGACCGTGAGATCGTGACCTGGCTGAAGTCGGACGCTTAACCGACTGCGCCACCCAGGCGCCCCGACACATTATTCTTTAAAGAAGACTCTGTGTCATTTGCAACTACACGGATGGAACCGGAGGGTATTATGCTAAGCGAAATTAGAGAAAGACAAATATCATATGACTTCACTCATATGAGGACTTCAAGACACAGAACAGATGATCATAAGGGAAGGAAAGCAAAAATAATATAAAAACAGGGAGGGGACAAAACATAAGAGACTTTTTTTTTTTAATATGAAATTTATCATCAAATTGGTTTCCATACAACACCCAGTGCTCATCCCAACAGGTGCCCTCCTCAATGCCCATCACCCACTTTCCTCTCCCTCCCACCCCCCGTCAACCCTCAGTTTATTCTCAGTTTTTAAGAGTCCATTTAAATATGGAGAACAAACAGAGGGTTTCTGGAGGGGTTGTGGGAGGGGGGATGGGCTAAATGGGTAAGGGACACTAAGGAATCTACTGAAATCATTGTTGCACTATATGCTAATTTGAATGTAAATTTTAAAAAATTAAATAAGACTCCATACCAAGGATGTAATGTCAAAAGCAATTTCAGTGTAAGCCCATTCACTCTTGTGCTCAAAGACATCATTGGCAAGTAGAGAGTTGGCCCCAGGGCTCCTATCGTCTCAATTCTCAGTGCCACCAGTAGTTGTGTGACCTTGGATAAGCAATTTAGCTTTTTGGAGCTTGAGTTTCCCATTGTGATAATGGTACTCCCCTCACAGGGCTGTTTGGTTAAAGGAGTAAATTAATATATGTAAAGCACTTAAAACTACCTGACCTGTAGTAAGGGCTCCAGAAGTAGTAACTCTTACTGTTTGATCAGAACCTTTTCCTTAATGAGCACCAGAGAGAAGGCAAGAGAAAAGAGTGGCCTGTGCTGGGCCCTCCTTTCCATCCTTCAGAGCCCCTCTGAAACAACATCGCTATTTTCAGACTGATAGCAAACTCTAGACTTTCAAGCAGCCTAGAGCCAGAAGCCATTTCCACGGCTGAACACCCGTGGGATGAGAACCATTCCCCATACTTAACATGGTCCTTCATTTTTATTTTGTTAAGGAACTGCGCATCCAAATCATATCTGGAAACATGGAGTAGGGAGGCCAAAAGCCTGTCTGAGTTTTGATTTGATTTCACAGATGTTCGCGTGTATTTCCAGGCCTTCCACATGACAATCACAGGGCTGAAGTTCATTTCTTTGATGTCAGCCCGCGGCTGTTTCTAGCATTCTTTTCTTTCACTCATTAACATTGCTACTGATTCCCCAGCCTGTAGAAGAAATGAATGATGGGCGTCTTGAGAGAAGAGGGAAGGAGGCAGAAGACAAGGGAATAAAACAAAACAAATCGGGAGGGTGGGAGGTGGGCGGGTTAATTCCTGAATCCTGACTTGCACCCTGCCTTGTCCCCTCCTATCGCCTTGTCTGGGAAATGGCCCCGCGTGTCTCAGGCCCTCAGCCCAGCGTCCTGGACACTGACATTTACGGAGGGAGCAGTTGATCATCTACTGAGCAGCTGTGGGGGTGGCCCAGCTGCCCACTGCTGCTTTTATATTTCCCAGTGCATTTTATATTTCCCACATTCCTAGGCCATGTGTAAGGTCTTTTTCCTTCCGTCAAGATAATGCACTTATTTCTAATTCATTTTCCCAGGAGGACCCATGGATGGTCAACAAAATTCCTCCATTGGAATCATCTAGTCCAGTGTGCCTCAACCTTTTTTTCATCATCACCCCTTTAAGGAGATATTTAGACATTTTTTTCCTAATTCCCCCTTCCCACCATGAAATTCTACCGCCACAGATATATTTCTCTTTGTGGCCCCCTGGAGGGCCACAAACCACTGAATATCCAAGTTCTTTTTGCTCCCCCATGAACCAATCTTCACCCTCTTAGGGGCGATATCCTCCTGGGTGAGAATGCTGGATCCAGTCAAACCCTAGATGATTCTCGTTACCCTTGCCGTCTCCAAGAACCCCACCACCACCCTAACCACGAGTTGCCTTTTTACACATTATTTATCTTCCAGTACAATACACTTCAGTAGTTACAACTCTAGCATGCTCATTCTTTCTCGTCACTTTTGTAATCTGTCCTATAGCAATTTTAATCATTGTGCAAAAACATTGCTTGCGTTTGCTTTAAAAACCGCTAATGGTAAAAGGAGAACAGTCTGTCCTAACAGGGGTCATTCCCATCTGGAGCATTCTGGCGCCAGCAGCTTCAGAGCTCTGAAGGTCACTTCTGTGACCATTACCAGGCCTTTGGGCAGAGCCTGGGGCTGGCCAACTTGGCCTTTGCTGTTGTCCCACTTCCTTTTCTCACTTCCTAATTCCCCCACCCTCACAAGGCCTCCAAGGGACCCACCCATGTCCACAATTCCCCTTTTGAAACAGAATCAAGCCTCTGCTCACCCCAGGGTGCCTACCTCCCCCATCATTATCCTGCTCATTGATCTCCTTCACTACCCCAGAGTAATTCCAGAAGATATTTGGCTCTTTTGAAAGGGCTTGACCTCTGCAATGTCATAGGCAGAGCTGAGAAATCCCATCCATCCATCCATCCATCCATCCATCCATCCATCCATCCATCCATTTCTCCCTCCCTCTCTCTCACAGGTAAATACCGAATAACCGAAACAGTACATAAAAATTAAGGAAGGCTAGCTGTTAAGAAATGACCCCTAAATGTACAATGGCTTAAATACAGTAGGACTTTATGATTCATATAAACAGTTCCAGAAGGTTTCAGATTGGTGGTAGAAGGCTCTGTTGCATAGTCACTCAGGGACCCAGGCTGTCAGCTTTTGCCATCTTCAACATGTGGTTGCCAAGGTCACCCTCGGCAGTGTAAACCAGATAGCAGAAGCAGAAAGAGCACAGAGGGCATCCAACGGGAAGCTTCATGGGCCCAGTCATGAAACAGGGCACGTCTCTTCTATTCACATTTCAAAGGTAGAGCCCAGCCACAAGGCCAACCCTAAATGCAAAGAAGGAGTCTAGTTGTGTGCCTAGAAAGGCGAGGCAACGGTCTGCCGACCTCATGGTTTAATGCTACAGACTTAGGTCAGCTTTTTAGAAAATAAAAATCATGTCCGTCACGTGCAGCATGGCACAGTGAGAACAGAGGTTGAGGGTTAGAAAGATCTGAGCAGGATTTTGGTTCCGTGCTTACTAACTGTGTAACCTGAGCACAGACTACCTAAGCCATGTAAATCTTCTTTTCTTCATCAACAACACAGGGAAATCATTGTTTTCGCTGGGTCCTTATAAGGAATGAAGGTTAAGTACTTGGTAAGAGGGTCTGGCACACGGTAGGCATTCCATAAATGGTAGCTGTTAGCATTACCATTGCTAAACTAAGTTGAGTGGTGCGAAAAATCAAAGAACACGGAGAGGAGTAACACTAAGCTATCTAGATAGCAGTAACATTAGTCACGAAAGTCTAACTCGAACCAATGTTATAAAAAAAAAAAAAAGGAGGAGGGGATTTATTAGGATAGAATCACGGGGCGTAGCTCTTCACATCAAGGGGAGACCTGCCAAACTGGAGCCTTCTCCAAGACTTCAGCGATTGGAGCTCTTTTCCTTAGTCATGCTATAGGCCACTTATCTGTATCTTTGCTTCATTCTCTCCAATGGCACACCTTTGCATGTTCCAACAGCCTCAAAAATCGCAAACTTTCAAATGTAGGATATTATGGTTATATTTTTAAAGCGTGTCCTACTGGCCTTGAGTTGGTAACTGCTGAAGTTAGGGGATGGGTACACGGGAGTTCTCTATACTGTTCTCTCTACTTTTGTATACATTTGGAAATTTCCACCAAACAAACAAACAAAATAAAACAAAAGCCCAAGACTGATCTCATCTTGACCTAGAGAATCAAGGAGGAGGAGGGACAGACTTGACCGGCCCACCATACGTCACATTTTTTTAAGCAGTGACTTTCTGCCTTGGTGAAAACTCTATGCACCCAAAGGGAAATGCTGCCATGATCACCACTGCCATCTGATTGGCCATGGTTTTTCTGGATTGAGAGAAATGGCTAAAGTGATACACAGACATCAGCACAGGGTTGGGTGATTTCAACTACTTTTCTTGGCCTTGCTGATGGCGAGAACGCTTCCCCACTCTTCTCACATTGCATCTCTTTAAGAAAGGTAGAGCGATCTTGGCAGTGTTGTCCTTAAGCACCATCACATTTAACAGAGTCTCAGGAGAGAACAGATCGGAGAAAGCAAGCATGAGAACGACAAAAATTACAGACCTACTTTCTAGTGATGGAGACCATCGGCTCAGAATAGTCACATGTGCATTAAGGGTATCTAATCAGAATATCCAGTACCTAAGAGATTCTCTGGGCAGCTCCAGGAAAAAAAGAAAAAAAGAGGTTGAGAACTAGCTATTACTCTTTCTTCTAAGCTTTTTCCCCCCAAATAACCAAGTGGTGGGCAATGGGTACTCTCTTCATCGCAGGTCAGTCCTGAAAGATGATTGCCATCATTTCACTCCAGGATGTATTTTTTAAAGAAAGCAAAAATCAATTTCTCTGTATTACATTCTTCATCATCATGTCCTATGAACTGGTTGATCTCATTATATCGATCACATAAAAAACAAGGACTGAGGGGAAAGGTATTGATAATCTTAGAACAAAAGTCTAAGAATACAGGAAGCAAGCAATTATTGACTACAGTCTAATACTCTGTCCAAAAAGAAAGAGCATACTGGAATATAACTTTTATAATTAAAAAGCTTTGCTAACCAGCCTTGGTATCCAAATCATGTCGTCATATCCAAATCAGATTTTTTATTTTCACAAATGTGGCAGACTGTCCTATCCAAAGATAGATGCCACAACATACTCCATCCCACATTCCCACATGTTTGTTTGGGTTTTTTTTAACCATGTAACACGGACATTCCTTCCATTGGGGGGTGGGCTTTATGTCTCCTCCCTGTGAACCTGGGAAGACCCTGTGTCCCCCTCAACCAACAGGGTACAATGGAAGTGACTCCACGTGACTTCAAGACAAGGTCGCAAGAAACTCACGCACTTCTGCATTGCCCTCTTGGGACAACAGTTCTTGGAACTGAGCCACTGCACTACAGGGAAGCCGTGCAGCTACACGGACATGTCATGTATAGGTGTGCCACCAAACAACCCCAGCTGAGGTCCCAACCAATAGCCAACACTGACCACTACGTGTGAGAGAGCGAGCCTTCAGCTAATTCTGACCCCAACCCATTGAGTCATTGCCAGCTCCAGCTGATAATGCATGGAGCAGAGATGAGCTGCCCCTGCAATCCCAGCCCAAATTGCGCATTTGAGAATAAAATAAAGAATAAATATGACATTATTAGGGGCGCCTGGGTAGCTCAGTCGGTTAAGCATCCGACTTCGGCTCAGGTCATGATCTTGCAGTTCATCAGTCCGAGTCCCATGTCAGGCTCTGTGCTGACAGCTCAGAACCTGGAGCCTCTTCGGATTCTGTGTCTCCCTCTCGCTCTGCCCCTCCCCTGCTCGCACTCTGTCTCCCTCTCTCAAAAAAATAAAAAAACATTTAAAAATTTTAAAAGCAATAAAAAAAAGTAAATATGACATCATTAAGTTACTAAAACATTTTTGTCTTTTGTACATGGCAGAATAAAATGTTGAAATAATATGAATAAATGGAGTATTTTGAAGCAATCAGGAGGGAAGAATTCGGTTTACAGGTGTCAGCGTGGATAGATCTCAAAAACATATAGTGAAAAAATGAATAATCAGAATGACATACAGACAACAAACATTTATATACATTTAAAAACGTATTCAAAACAATCATACATTTTTCAGAGATTCCTAACTTCAAATTAATATACAGAAGGTCAATCAGAAGGGCATATGTTAAATACACGAGGGTGTAGTTCTGTGGGAGTGGGAATGGGGACAAAGGCAAAACATAATTTAAAAGGGTCAATCACCATGAAAAACCCAAAACGAAGAGTATGGTTATGTAATTGTAAAACTTGCTTCACATTTCTTTCTGAGCACACAGCCAAAGTCTACTTTCCAGCCTCTTGTGCATTTAATGTGGCCACATGACTGCATTTTAACTAAGGGACTGTAGGCGAAAGTGCTATGGGCTCTCTCCAGGCCGGGCCCTCAGAAAGTGAAAAAAGGCCTTGGCAGCTAATAGGAAGACTGTAACATTTCCACCCGGCTCTAATGAACCAAGATAGAGCACAACCACTCTGTGAGCACATCTGAACCAACGGAACTGCCGCTCCAAATGTAATTATGCCCCCCACTCTTCTAACACAGTTTTTTGCCAGTGAGGATTCTAGCTGGGCTTTAAAGGTACGGCCTCTGAGATAAAATTACCAAGGTACACAATCAAATAGCCCCAAATCACGACTGGTCTCCACTCCCGTTAACCCTTCTTTGAATCACCTAGGATGAGTCCAAACCTGCAGGCCTGTCCAATTTTCTTACAGGGACGCCCCCTTGGTTCCTCAGCTAGCCCAAGAAACCTCACCTTGTTTGACAGCAGCTGAGTATGAACTCCAAATAATCTGTTGAGCCCTTCACTGTTTGGTCTCTATTTCATTCCTAGGGCTTTTGAATTCTGATCAGTTTGCACTGTTCTTTGGTGAAATTTTGCTTCTAAGCATTTAACTCAGCATTCCTATTATCTGTCTGGTTGTCTGTTGTCCTAACTGTCACTCGTCTGTAAGAGAAACGCCTATAGTGAGGGATACAGGCCAGATAAACTGTCAGTGAGGCCGGTCCTGATGGCCAAGGTGCTCAGGACATCTCATCAGCCCTGCATCTTCAGAGTAGACTTTGCCTTGGGTCGCTCTTAGTTTGCTAGGGTTGCCACAACAAATTACCACAAACTAGGTCGCTTAATACCATAGATTCTGATTCTCTCGTAATTCTGAAGTCAAGAAGTCTCAAATTAAGGTGGCAACAGGGCCATACCCACTTTGGAGGCTGTAAGGGAAAATCCTTCCCAGCTTCTGGTAGTTGCTTTAACCCTTGGTGCTCCTTGGCTTGTACCAGCAAGTGCTCCAATCTCTGCTGCTGTCATTACATGGCCTACTTCCCTCTTTGTGGTCTCTGCATCTCCAAACCTCCTTCTCCTAATAAAGACACCAGTCATTGGATTTAGGGCCCACCACAATCCAATATGACCTCATCTTAACTTGACCCTATTTCCAAATAATGTGACGTTCACAGGTACCTGGGGTTTGGACTTCAACATAACATTTTGGAAAAACAATTCAACCCACAACAATCACCTTTCAAGGTATTTTAAGAATTACTCTTTATTATATTAAAAAAAATATTCACCATGATCAAATGAGATTTATTCCTGGGCTAGAGGGCTGGTTCAATATTCGCAAATCAATCAACACGATACACCACATTAATAAAAGAAAGGATAAGAACCATACCATCCTCTCAATAGACGCATCCATTCTTGATAAAAACCCTCAACAAAGTAGGGATGGATGGAACATACCTCAACATCATAAAGGTCATATATGAAAGACCCATTGCTAATATCACCCTCAATGGGGAAAAACTGAGAGCCTTTCCCTTATGGTTAGGATCGAGACAAGGATGTCCACTCTCACCCTTACTATTTAACATAGTACTGAAAGTTTTAGCCTCAGCAATCAGACAACAAAATGAAATAAAAGGCATCCGAATCAGCAAGATGTCAAACTGTCCCTATTTGCAGATGACCTGGTACTCTATGTAGAAAACCCAAAAGACTCCACCACAAAAGTGCAAACTGATACCTGAATTCAGCAAAGTTGCAGCATATAAAATCAACATGCAGAAATCTGTTGGATTTCTATACACCAATGATGAAGCGGCAGAAAAAGAAATGAAGGAATTGATTCCATCTGCAATTGCACCAACACCAGTAAGATACCTAGGAATTAACCTAATGAAACAGGTAAAAGATCTAACACTCTGAAAACTATAGAACACTCATGAAAAAACTGAAGAGGACAGAAGGAAATGAAAAGTATTCCATGTCCGTGGAAGAACAAACATTGTTAAAATGTCTATACTACCCAAAGCAATCTACACATTGAATGCAATCCCTATCAAGATACCACCAGCATTTTTCACAGAGCTAGAACAAACAATCATAAAATTTGTACGCAACTACAAAAGACCCTTAATAGCAAAAACAATCCCGAAAAAGAGAAGCAAAACTGGAGGCATCACGATTCCAGATTTCAAGTTACATTACAAAGCTGTAGTCATCAAGACAGTATGGTACTGGCACAAAAACAGACACAGATCAATGAAAGAGAACAGAAAACCCAGAAATGAATATCCAACAAAGCAGGAAAGAATGTCCAATGGAAAAAAGTCTCTTCAACAAATGGTGTTGGGAAAACTAGACAGCGACATGCAGAAGAATGAACCTGGACCACTTTCTTACACCATACACAAAAATAAACTCCCAATGGGTGAAAGACCTAAATGTGAGACAGGAAACCATCAAAATCCTAGAGGAGAACATAGGCAGCAACCTCTTTGACCTCAGCCACAGCAACTTCTTACTAAACACATTGCCGAAGGCAAGGGAAACAGAAGCCAGCGTGAACTACTGGGATCTCATCAAGATAAAAAGCTTCTGCACAGCAAAGGAAACAACCAACCTAAAAGGCAGCCTACATAATGGGAGAAGACATCTGCAAACATATCTGATAAAGGGTAAGTATCCAAAACCTATACAGAGCTTTATCACAGTCAACATCCAAAATACAAATTACCCAGTTAAGAAATGGGCAGAAGACATGAATAGACACTTTTCCAAAGAAGACATCCAGATGGCTAACAGATACATGAAAAGATGCTCAACATCACTAATCACCAGGGAAATGCAAATAAAAACCATGATGAGATACCACCTCACATCCGTCAGAATGGCTAAAATTAACAACATAAGACAACAGGTGTTGGTGAGGATGTGGAAAATGGGGAACCCTCTTGCACTGTTGGTGGGAATGCAAATTGGTGCAGCCACTCTGGAGAACAGTATGGAGGTTCCTCAAAAAATTAAAAATAGAACTACCCTATGATCCAGCAATTGCACTATTAGGTTTTTACCCAAAGGATACAAAAACACAGATTCGGAAGGGTACACGCATCCCAATGTTGACAACAGCATTGTCAACAATAGCCAAACTATGGAGAGAGCCCAAATGTCCGTTGACTGATGAATGGATACAGAAGATGTGGTGTATATATACACAATGGGATATTACTCAGCCATCAAGAGAATGAATCATGGGAATCTACTCCTGAAGCCGAGAGCATACCATATACATTATATGTTAGCTAACTTGACAATAAACAAACAAACAAACAAATAAATAAATCTTGCCATCTGCGACAACATGGATGGAGCTAGAATGTATTATGCTAAGTGAAATAAGTCAATCAGAGAAAGGCAAATACCATATGATTTCAATCATATGTGGAATTTAAGGAACATAAACAGAGGAACATATGGGGTGGGGGGAGAGGAGAGAGGGAAACAAACCACAAGAGACTCTTAACCATAGAGAACAAACTGAGGGTTGATGGAGGGAGGTGGGTGGGGGATGGGCTAGATGGGTGATAGATACTAAGGACACTACTTGTTGTGATGAGCTCTGGGTGTTGTATGTAAGTGATGAATCACTGAATTGTACTCCTAAAACCAAACCACTACTGCACTGTATGTTGACTAAAACTTAAATTTAAAAATTAAAAAAAAAAAAAAAAAAGAATTACTCCTTTTAGTTTCATCTTCCTAGAACTGTTCTTCTTCTTTTTTTTTTTTTTTTAATTTTTTTCAACGTTTATTTATTTTTGGGACGGAGAGAGACAGAGCATGAATGGGGGAGGGGCAGAGAGAGAGGGAGACACAGAATCGGAAACAGGCTCCAGGCTCTGAGCCATCAGCCCAGAGCCTGACGCGGGGCTCGAACTCACGGACCGCGAGATCGTGACCTGGCTGAAGTCGGACGCTTAACCGACTGCGCCACCCAGGCGCCCCGAAACCATAAATCTTTTAGAAGACAACATAGGAGGGAATCTTCTGAGTTATGCAGAATTCTTAGACATGACTCTAAAATCATGATCCATAAAGGAAAATACCAATAAATTGGACTTTATCAAAACCAAATCCTTTTGCTCTGAGCAAGAACCTGTTAAGAGAAAGATACAGACTGGGAGAAATATTTGCAATGCACAGTTCTGGTAAGAGATCTGTATTCATAATATATAAAGAATGCTCTAAATGCAACAGTAAAAACACAAAATTCAATTAGAAAATGTGCAAAAGACTTACACATTTCCCTATAGAAGATATTTGAATGGCAAATAGTATTTAATGGCATATATAAGCATATGAAAAGATGTTCAACATCATTACCCACTGGAAAAATACAAATCAAAGCCATGATAATACACCACTATACTTCTATTAAAATGGCAAAAAAAAAAAAAAATCCCACAATACCAACCACTGGCAAGGATATAGAGCAATTAGATCTCTCATACATCATTGGTAGGAATATAAAATGGTACAGCTATTCTGAAGAGAAGTTTGGCAGTTCCTTATTAAGTTAAACACAGACTTACCATAAGACTTGGCAATGATACTCCTGGGTATGTATCCTAGAGAAATGAAAACACACATCCACATAAGAAATCCATACATGAATGTTTATAGTAGTAGCTCTATTTGTATAGCTGACAAGTGGAAACAATCCAAATGTCCTATGAAAAGTGAATGGATATACTGTGGCTCACCCATACTATGGACTACTACTCAACAATGAAAAGGAACAACACGATACGTGCAACAAACTGTGGATGCATGAAGGGATCTCGCGGCCATTATGCTGAGTAAAAAAAGCCAATTTCGAAAGGTTGTATACTTTATAACTCCACTTCTATAACATTGTTGAAATGACAGAATTATACAGATGAAGAATAGGTCAGTGGTTGCCCCAGTGGTTATCAGTGGTTAGAAATATGGAGAAGGTTATAGAAAGGTTAGCATAAGAGTTTCTTTGTGAAGATAGAAAAGTTCTGTACCCTGATGATTGTAGTTATCAGAATCTACATATGTGAATGGGGGCACCTGGCTGGCTCAGTCAATGAAGTGTGGGACTCTTGATCTCAGGGTTGTGAGTGGGGGGCCCAACACTGGGTACAGAAATTACTCAAAAATAAAAATCTTACAGGATGCCAGGGTGGTTCAGTCGGTTAAATGTCCGACTCTTGATTTCAGCTTAGGTCATGGTCTCAGAGTTTGTTGAATTGAGGTCAGGCTTCACCCTGACAGCACAGAGCCTGCTTGGGATTCTCTCTCTCCCTCTTTCTCTGCCCCTTCCCAACTTGCGTATGCTTGCACTCTCTCTTTCTAAACAAACATTAAAAAAAAAAATCTTTATGGGCTCAGTCGGTTGAGCGTATGGCTTCAGCTCAGGTCATGATCTCGCGCTCGTGGGCTTGAACCCCACATCAGGCTCTGTGCTGACAGCTCAGAGCCTGGAGCCTGCTTCAGCTTCTGGGTCTCCCTCTCTCTGCCCCTCCCCTGCTTGCACTCTCTCTCTCAAAAAAACTAAAAACATTAAAAAAAAAACTTTAAAAAAGTACCTATGTGATAAAATTTCATAAAACTATACAAAAATTCAAATAAGGTCTGTCGTTAAAAGTATTGTACTAATGTCAATCTCTTGGTTTTGATAACGAAATATGCTTATACAAGATATCACCACTGAGGCACCTCAGGAAAGTTGCATGAAGGACACAGGAATGCTTGGTATTATCTTTTGTAATTCCTTGTGAGTTTAAATTTAAAATATGGCTAAGAAACTGAGAGAGATAGAATCCAGATTCTTAAGGTTCCCTAAAACTCTTTGCCTAGACCAATGAGATGTGAAAAAATTTTAATCTGCCTCAGTTTTGTGCGTCCATCTAAAACTCTGTTCCACACTTTCCTATTTATCTTTCCTTTCTCTTCCCTCCTCTTCCATCTTCAGAACTATCCATACTCGAAGTCCCTTAAAATTACAACCTCCAGATGAAGAGGTCTCTGATTTTCCTAATGTCAACTTCTGATCCTTGTGCCATTGTTAAGGACTTCCCAAACCCTGTCTTGGTCCATATACTCCAAACCTTCTTGACCACTATCAAGCTGTTCTTCTTTTGGTGGAGCCAGGAGATGCAGAAACTTGATAATGTAAACAAAAAGTTCTCTGGAAAATTGTCCCCTTCTAGCCAAGAACCAGAAACTTTTGAGTGATTACAAAGGAGATCCAAGGGAAACTGTAGCATCCAAATCCCAAAGGTTCCCTTTGCCTAACAGGGGGGAAAATTTTTTTCTTAAGTAGACTCCACACCCAACATGAGGCTTGAACACACAATCCCGAGATTAAAAGTCCCATGCTGTAGGGAATTAAAAGCAAAAATGAACTACTGGGACCTTATGAAGATAAAAAGCTTCTGCACAGCAAAGGAAACAACCAACAAAACTAAAAGACACCCAACGGAATGGGAAAAGATATTTGCAAATGACATATCGGACAAAGGGCTAGTATGCAAAATCTATAAAGAGCTCACCAAACTCCACACCCGAAAAACAAATAACCCAGTGAAGAAATGGGCAGAAAACATGAATAGACACTTCTCTAAAGAAGACATCCGGATGGCCAACAGGCACATGAAAAGATGCTCAACGTCGCTCCTCATCAGGAAAATACAAATCAAAACCACACTCAGATATCACCTCACGCCAGTCAGAGTGGCCAAAATGAACAAATCAGAAGACTATAGATGCTGGAGAGGATGTGGAGAAATGGGAACCCTCTTGCACTGTTGGTGGGAATGCAAATTCCTGGGTGCAGCCACTCTGGAAAACAGTGTGGAGGTTCCTCAAAAAATTAAAAATAGACCTACCCTATGACCCAGCAGCAGCACTGCTAGGAATTTACCCAAGGGATACAGGAGTACTGATGCATAGGGGCACTTGTACCCCAATGTTTATAGCAGCACTCTCAACAATAGCCAAATTATGGAAAGAGCCTAAATGTCCATCAACTGATGAATGGATAAAGAAATTGTGGTTTATATACACAATGGAGTACTATGTGGCCATGAGAAAGAATGAAATATGGCCCTTTGTAGCAACATGGATGGAACTGGAGAGTGTGATGCTAAGTGATATAAGGCATACAGAGACAGATACCATATGTTTTCACTCTTATGTGGATCCTGAGAAACTTAACAGAAACCCATGGGGGAGGAGAAGGAAAAAAAAAAAAAGAGGTTAGAGTGGGAGAGAGCCAAAGCATAAGAGACTCTTAAAAACTGAGAACAAACTGAGGGTTGATGGGGGGTGGGAGGGAGGGGAGGGTGGGTGATGGGTATTGAGGAGGGCACCTTTTGGGATGAGCACTGGGTGTTGTATGGAAACCAATTTGACAATAAATTTCATATATTGAAAAAAGAAAAAAGTCCCATGCTGTAATGATTGAACCAGCCAGGAGCCTTAAGGTGAATTGTTATTTTTTTAATGTTTATTTTTCAGAGAGAGAGAGAGAGGGAGGGAGGGAGAGGGAGAGAATGAGACCATATGAGCGGGGGAGGGGCAGAGAGAGAGGGACACAGAGGATCCTAAGCAGGCTCTGAGCTGTCAGCATGGAGCCTGATGCAGGGCTTGAGCTCACAAACCATGAGATCACGACCTGAGCTGAAGTCGGACCCTTAACTGACCGAGCCATCCAGGTGCCCCTACGGTGAATTATTTCTGATGGAAGCATAGAAAGAAACCTTTCAAGGGGGCACAGGTTATACTATAAATCCTACAACTGCTTCTATAATTATAAAAGTATATCTTTCAGAATTGTAAAATTACCAGTGGTAGGCTAACTTTGTCCCGGTCTTATCTGCCTAGGCTGGCCCTCTCTCATTTCCTCTCCACCTTCCCGTCTCCTTGGAAAGACTTTAGGAATAAAAAAGTTAAAAATGGAAATTCTGTTGTTATGCACATATTCATGCAGTCCAGATAAGATTCAAGTGAAAATTTTTAAGTATTTTTTTTGTTTGTTTGTTTATTTGAGAGACGGAGAGAGGCAGAGAGACAGAGGGAGAGAATCCCAAACAGACTCCATGCTGGAGCCAGACACAGGACTCGATCTCATGACCGTGAGATCATGACCTGAGCTGAAACCAAGAGCCAGATGCTTAACCAACCGAGCCACCCTGGTACTCCCCACACCCCCCTCCCCAATTTTTTTTTAAGTCTCAAGCTTTACACATGTTGGTTCTTCAAATTTTCTTGCTAAAACCAATACAGAAGAAAAAGCTGTTTGAATAATGACCTTGGTTATTAGGTTATCAGACCCACAAAGCAGGCAAGTTAAAACTTTTGACATGATGTGAATTTTTGGCTTATGAATACAGAGGTTCATTGTATATCAGAAAATCAATAAAAGATGCAAAATGTATATACAGCTATGGAGTAAAAAGAAATTAAGCCTTTGGTTATAGGTTTTCTAGTTCTGTGTTTGGAGGAAATAAAATGTGTTATTTTGGTTAAGGTAGTAACTAATAAAATGTTTGAGACTATACTATAGCACAGTTATAAAGTGACATATCTTATACATATGGGATAATTGTTTTGGCTTATCTACTTGTTAAGGAAACTGCCAATTTTATGAGAATGGTAAATTCAATATATTACATGTTCATTTAACATGCTCATCAAGGTAACTATTTTAGAGCTGAATTAAAACTGTAAAACATGTTTACATGCATCTAAACAAATATCTGGGAGGGCTTGAGAAAGGTGCATTAATGAAAGGCATACAGGGGCGCCCAGATGGCTATCAGTTAAGCATCTAACTTTGGTTCAGGTCATGATCTCACAGCTTATGGGTTCAAGCCCCATGTCAGGCTCTGTGCTGAAGCTGAGCCTGGAGCCTGCTTCAGATTCTGTGTCTCCCTCTCTCTCTGCCTGCCCCTCCGCCATTAGTCTCTCTCTCTACCCGCCCCCCGCCATAGGCAAACATTAAAAAGAAATTTAAACACACTGTGAGATATCTATACTTGTGGCATACTCATAAATTGTTTTAACACAAAGTACCTTATTTTTGAAAAAGATGAAATTTCTTGTAATTATCATCACTTATTGCTGCTCTTACATTAGCAACTTATTAAAATGCCCTGCATTTAAACTGATACAGCCACTGGTGGAAAACAGGATGGCGGTTCCCCAAAAAGTTAAAAATAGAACTACCTTACAATCCAGCAATTGCACTATTTAGGTATGTACCCAAAAGATACTAAAAGGCAATTCAATGGGAGACATGCACCCCAATGTTCATAGCAACATTATCAACAACAGCCAAACTGTGGAAAGAGACCAAGTGCCCATCAACTGACGAGTGAATAAAGATGTGTGTGTGTGTGTGTGTGTGTGTGTGTGTGTGTGATGGAATATTACTCAGCCATCAAAAAGAATGAAATCTTCCCATTTGCAATGATGTGGATGGACCTACAGAGTGTTATTCTAAGCAAAATAAGTCAGTGAGAGAAAAATGCCATAGTTCACTCCTATGTGGAATTTAAGAAACAAATGAACAGAGTGGGGGAAAAGATGCAAACCAAGAAACAGACTTTTAACTACAGACAACCCCCTCCCCCCCCCCGGCGGGGCGGGGGGCCCGGCGGATGGGTGAAATGGGTGACGGGGACTAAGGAGTGCACTTATGATGAACACTGGTGTTGGACCTACGTGGTGAATCACTGAATTCTACACCTGAAACCAACATTACACTCTATGTTAACTAGCTGGAATTTAAATAAAAACTTGGAAGAAAAAAAAAATTCCTGCATTTAGATACTTCTTAATTAGGTTTATGTTTTGTCTCCTGGTCAACTTTTTGCCTTCCCCAATTTGAGGATAAAACTGCCCATGTGTCTTTTAAAACTACATGTTCTTT